AGTGAAAGATTCGAGAGTTCAGCATACATATATAAAATGTCATTTCAACTTGACAATGAATAACTACAGAAGAAGGAAACCGAGTAAATAGCACGTATCATCGTGTAAACTGTGTACTACAAACAGTAATAAATAAAATCTAAATATGGTACTTGAAGCAAGAGAAATAATAATACATTCTTGGTAATGACTAATGATAAAGGAGTGAAAATACGAATCGAATAATTCTTGTCAGAGATTCATGCTAAAAGTAAATGATCCGTTGTGATCAGACAATAAATTCATATGACTGAATCGAAAGCAGTAGTATATGCTGGAAAATTGTACATGCAAAATTTTTAGTAGATCAAATCTGAATTTGAAAAAAGTAATACTGTTAGTAATTACAAAGCTGTATTCTGTAAATACCGAAAGTATTCAACATTAACAAGGGAAATTAACTGAAAACGAATTAGAAAGTACTTGTTTTTAAAACTGAAAATGATAGAAATGGCAACTGTGAAAAATATTCGATCGTCAAAGGAGGCTTGTAGATGATCCATTTTGTATCATAAAGTTTTGCTGCCAAGAAAACCCAGAAATTTTGCAATACCAATGAATATAGCGATTTCTTTCCATAGTTGTAAACAGTTATCTGAGCTCTTCATCGAAATCAGTAAACTGTACTTACCTGTAAAGTAAAAATAAATGCCGTAGAAAGTGGGTTTTGTGATATGATTTCGATAATGTGGCATTAATTTCAAAGACAAATTATTCATAAATGAGAACAATAACAAGAAGTTAACAACTAACGTCACAAGTAGATCAAACTAATACAAACTAAGGCATTCCAAAAACGTAAGCTGTAGTGGTCTATTTTGTATCATAAATTTCTGCTGCCAAGAAAGCCAAGAAATTTGCAATACAAATGAATATAGCGATGTCTAACAATTAGAATTTTCAGAACCTTTTATATCAAACTTTTTGAAAATAAAGAGCGGACAACAGTCAAGACTATAAAGAAATATTCAAGTTTGATCAGTTTCTTGCTTAAAACTATGCACGAAAACTGTAAAAAATGATATCATTACTAATGATTATATTACTAAGAAATAGAACTAGAGAAAATAGTAATCTGGATAAAAGAAACAGTGATATGAGCAAAAAACAGCTACTGATATGCATGCTAATATAAAGAAGAACAGTGAGATTTATGATAAGGATAACAGTAACAATTTGAATTCAAATACATGAAACGCAAATTCAAATCCATCGCTGCGGACTTTGCTGTCCTCTACAAAGCGTAAATTGCACGAACACTTCATAAAATATTGTAAGCTGCTATATCTTTGCTTAGATTACACACATTAAACATGCACTCGTTCACATCCTATGCAAGTCCAAAATCCATTACAGACGCAGCCGGAAAGACAAACAACTGTTAGCTTAAAAAATGTAATCATTCCTTTTCAGTTGCAATAATGTCAGCAGTCATGTAAAGGATGAGATGAAAACGTTGTATAGCTTAATTTGCTGGGGCCGTAATATTTAGTTTGATGTTCATGATTCTTTGACGATTAGATTACGGTGTGTGATGATGTCACTGTGTTTCTTTCTGGTTGAGTTAGAAAGAAGGTTAAATTTGAACACAATTTCTCTCATATTTGCTTTCGGTCGAGTAGTGCTGGGACAGTGTTATTAATAAGACTTGGGTAAGCACAAGTTGCATTTTAGCAGATAAGAATGTCATGTCCCTCATGAGTCACTACTACTTGCTTAGCATTTGCTTTAAAAGCCTTTACTCCTCTTGAAAACTTCATTCATTGTGTTATCTTTTGCCGGTCTAAGAAGTGATTAATTTTAGTGCTCGTTTATATGGAAATACCGGAAAAGATTGTGTGAGATAAACGAAGTGAATTATGTCGTTGGAACCATCAATTCTGCATAATCCATCTACAAGCGAACCTGAAGCGGTTATTACTTGCAGTTATTGCTTTAATTATTTTAGATATCAGTTATGCCGGTTTCTAGTCGTATGAAATGACAGTTTGTTTTGTTAACCAATTCATTACCATTACTAGTCTGAAAGGTAACTGAATTTAGTTAGCCATTACTAATAGCCTTACTTTTTTAAGGTTTTTGATTAATTTTAGATTTTTTAATCATTGAAATTTTTTTGCCCATTTGCAACTTGAAAATGTAGTATTGTTTTAAAGCAAAATAATGCCGGTTAATCATTAGAAAAATTGTTGCTCTTTTAAAAATTAACTAATATTATTTAACATCACAGGGACGTCATTATTCTTAACGCTACTCATTACCAACACTTTTTACTAGTATGACTGTTTTTAGTTCGTTTCGTTGCGTGTTTAGTATTCATTTCTATGTCTCTGTACGAAAAATTGAGTGATGAGTTAACTGAGTGACTTTATTATTTTTTGCATACAGATTTTTTTTTCTCAATCATACGAATTTATCTTTTATTTATTACTTGATTTTGAGGGATTTTAGACGACGGGAATATCCATTTCGGGTATTAATTACTTGCAATAATATTGCTGTTTTTGATTTAATTTAGTACGAGACAAATTATACACATTGAATAGTATGTGTGTCATTTGGTTTACAGTAAGAAATATTAATTACAAGCAGATCTTTACTTTCAAATTCAAAATATCCAGTCCACATGAAAATAAATCATGAATGCATCGATAATCAATAATCCGGTGACTCACTGAATTTGTCAAACATAAGTTATCGTACTTTTGGATCGCAGTTTTTATCTTCACAAAAACACATTATAAAATTATGTTCTTTTTGGAATTCTTTAGATTAAAATACCTGAAATAATACTTTTACTTTTCATGTTCTGATTTTTTTGGCCTGAAATTTTTTTTCAATTTACGGATTTGGGGTGACTGTAGATGATTTTATTGTATGTTTTTTTTGGAAGTATTTTTGTGTAGTGTATTTTCAGCTGAAATTCCTCGCCAAAGTGGTCTTACAGAATCAGTCAAGTGATGAAATAATCAGTGATGATGAAGCGCGGCGGCGTCGTGAGCAACTCAATCGGCGACCATCCTATCGGTTGGACATTTTTTCTTTTCATTACTGAAAAATAATCTGAGATTTTTCAGACAAAGGTTGGTCATAAAGTATTGACAGTGTTACCACATTTAGCATATCTTTCAAATGTGTTATAAATTAACTGCTTGTGAGCGGGAGACTTATTATTTCTGTTTTGAGTCAGTTTTAAAAAATTGTATAAAGCTGTTTGGGTGAAACTTTAACCATAATTTGTGCCCAATATTGTCGTTTTTGGTAATTGATAATTTAAATGGAAAAAAATCTGCTATTTATAAGAAATTATTTCTTATAAGTTTTTTATAGAGCAGAACATCGACCATTCATTTCATTTTGCGAAGAAAAATCACAGAAAATGCAGTTTTTTCTAATCAGAAAAGTTGAAGTGTTTTTAACCTTTATATTTATTCACTTTCATTAATTTAAAATTTTTTCTTTTTTCTAAAAAATACTAGTTTTTGATTTCAGAAAAGATGACTGCATATATCAACTATAGATGTGTTATATTTCTTGAAAAAATCTTGAATTATCGAAGTAATTTTTTGGACTGTTATCTAATGTAAGGTATTTATGAATTCAAGACATCATTTTAGTGATTCTTGTCATTTATGTAATGATTGCGATGTGATACCATAATGAATCTTAATTAAGATCTAGAAAAGGAAAGGTTTCTGCATTGTAATTTTAGAGAACTGGTAGGTAAGCCATTTATGTAAATATTGTTTTATTCAGTATTTATTAAAAAGCAAGGAAAGCAGCTATTCGTTGTCTCCTTTTTACGTATTTTTATGAGTGAAAGTTCAGTTGTTATAGCAACATTGTTGTACGTTGAAGTGAATAGTTTTTATTTATTAAAAGAGGAAACGGATTGTGGGGATATGTCACTTAATAATTTAATGATTTCATCTCTATTATTTTCGAAGTTCTTTTTTTCTCAAAAAGATGGTATCCAAGTGCCTTATTGATTCTGTTAGAATGCAGTCTAAATTATAATAGTCTTTGATAAAACTTTCAATTGACATAATATATATTTTTCCTTTTGATAAAGTTTGAATATTTTTTCAGTTTTCATTGCTATTTTATTGACCTGAATATTGAAAAAATTAAACAAATTAAGATACTGTTGAAAAAATAGTTATGAAAATCCTCTAATGCATAAAACCCGTGTAATAGTTAAATAGATATTAGAAAGCTAGATGAGAGAAGTAAAGCGTGTTACTGTCACACACTGTAGAAAAATTTTCTTTGCATTTCTTTGATAAAATAAGAGATTGAGATCCATTTCAGTTTATAGTAGTGATATGAAGTATAGGATTTTTGGTTATCCACTGTTGGCTATTTTTAATGTGTAGTTAGGTGCTTTTGTTTCTTATGAATTTTCACTTTTGGTATTGTAATTTTTGGAATTAGAGTCATAAGCTTCGGGACAAGAATATTTTAATTGTATTGATAATGAAAATAACTTAACTGAGACACACTAGTTTCAAGATCTTGGATCAAAATTATAAAACTCACTCAGTTAAGCATTGAAATAAAATAGTGTGGTCGTTTGTTTGCATTGAATTCGTTTTTCACACCTGTATGCTGTCGAATATGAAAAAAATTAAGCACTGGAGTTTGCTAAAATAGCATATATCAGTATACTACTGGTTCTCTCTTTATCATTTTTCGACTCAAAACCAAATAACTAAACCATACTGATTATTACTCTCGCTAGTACTTGCTGGTATAGATATAAATGAGATCAGTAATAAAAAATATCTCTCTGGTGGAATTTAATCCTAATTTTGTATCTGTTAGTAGGTTCGATAAATTTACCATGCTCAAGTTTTGGATTAGTTCATTGAAACAATAATTAGCGCAATCATAGTATGGTTTTTAAGGATGCCTTTTCTTTGAATATTTATTTGTAAAAAGTTTTGCAGAAATAAAACAGTGGTTAATAATTTTTATGTTAACTAAGTTGAATCTTAAAATTTGAGTTTGATTTTGAAATAAGCTGGGAAACATTAATTTGATTAGTAAAGTGACCAGGCTGATATGTCTGATAAAGGCATTTAAGAGTAGCGATAGCAAAAAGATAATGCTGATAGTGTGACTTATCATTATCATCTAATAAGTACTGATTGATATGTACTAGAAGGTAAAGAAGTGTACGCTTTTCTCGTTTGTTTTCTGGATGAAGACTGGGTTTTTTTTTTCACTTAATTTTCTATTTTATTTCACTGCTAGCTGGATCTGCAACGAATGTGAACAAAGAAAATTGTTTATTTTACATTTGTATGATGTATGAATGTGTACATGTATGTATGTAGTATGAATATGTGATATTGTATGTTCCATACAGTGTACATGAAAATAGGGCAGAAGGGAAGTTCATGAGAACTTTGCATGCTGTTTCGGTGGCATCATTTTTAAGCAGTTGATAGGAGTAGTTGGAAAATTTTCTGATGCGAACTTTGCATATCTTCCTCATAGCATGTCCTCAAGCTATGCGTGGAACGCTTTTGAATAGTGGGCAGTGTTATTGCTATAGCTGTGCTTAAGTCATCGAAGGATAGCAGTGCTAGAGCAGTGATTGCACTCAGTGTGTGACAAGGTGCGCATTTGTTCTAGTTTTCTGCAGCAGTTTGGAAGAATGGCGTTGGCAAAAAATAATTTTCCGTTGAAGGATATAGCAGTGAAAAATTGCGGTTTTTAATATTTGGTTGCGGTAAAAAGCGAATAGAAAGAGTGCGAAAGTAAAGGCGAGTGGAGTGTATGTGTATCTCACGTTGATGATTGCGTGGTCATTGTTACAGCTTCTGCAAGACATGACGTCTACACTGGCAGTAATTGGAAGTGGTATTTTGTTTTCGAACAGTTAGTAGTAATTCATTCATACTTTTGTGTTTTTGAATAATGTAGGCTTAGCATGACACTTGTAAACTTAGGAAGCGGTAATTGGTGGGTGTAGGTCAAGTTCACCGTGAGATGTTGAGAAAGCATTTGAGCTCTACTCATGGTTAGCACGATATGGACGGGATACCAGCGTTGATGTTTAGTCGCAAGTAACAAGACATCACAGAAAGGTATAAATAGGTAGCAGATAAAAGAACGAAAAGATGCCTGAAATCTTGGGTAAAGAGTATATGTGTGATTGAAGTGAGTTTTATGTAAATTGCGGATGAAATGAAGTGTGTGCATGTGTAGTCTACAATTTTCTTGTGATATCTTGTTACTTGCGACTCTTTGATGAAATATGACGTACTTAGAGACAAATAACATGTGAGAGAATTGTTGAAGAGAATACAAAGATGAAGCGGTATGTTTAGCAGTTGAATCATTTGAAGAAAAAACTACTGGGATTTTTTCGTGTCTCACTGTGGCACATATTCTTGCATTTTAATCCATATTGAGCCAAAGTGATGTGGTAATGCTGCGGCACCTTGTTTCCGTGAAGGCCAGGGTGATAAATGTTGCATGCGCACGTGCATGCATATGTGGGGCCTTTATCAAGTTTCTCTCTATTAGGCTTTTTTATGAAAAACGTAGTGACTCTGACTCTACTTATCTGAGAGGAGAGCTGATTAGCTCTTGCACATATTGATTATTTGTCAATATGAATGGAAGTGAGTGACATTTTGGCATTTAATTGAAGGAATGAGTGATGTGGTAAGTGTGAACTTAGCATTTAAATATGACTCGTTGCACGTAATGCTCCCTTTGCCTTCTGTTTCAAAAGAATCTGCAAATTCGATTGTTAGTTATACTGCAGTTCGTAAATTGCTGCGAGCATACTGAAATATGTTGTACAGGAAAATGGCTTTGCTTGATGAACGCAGATTGCATGGACATATATAGCAGCAGGTGCGGTCGATATTCCTTGCTTGCACTGCATAAACTCAACGACCTCTCGCCGTTAATAAATGAAATTGGCACTTGTAAAGTTGTACTATTCCCATGAATTATCACTTAAGCTAACTACATAACAATTCCCATAGCTAAGATTGTTGATTCCGAATTCGATTGTTGACATAAATTTGATCGGTAAGGTAGACCTCCTTTCCATCACTCCTTCATTACAGCAAAAATTTTTGCGTTATTATATTTTCGGAAGATGAAGGTATGCAGTGAGAAGCAAAAAAACGATGAATTGTCATGACAATCATCTCTCAACGCAGTCTGAACTTTATCTATGTATGTAACGAAAAGATTTGACACGTTGTATTTGCTAACTTACACGTTGGAAGAGTATGCAATGCTGCGTGCTTAATACTTGTTTTACGTGGAATAGACTGCTGCAGCACCAAGACCTCCGTGTAGCTTACTGCTACTTGTACTCAATCTTCTCAGCATCACACTTCCTTGCATTTATTGCCTTGCTCGCAGCCACTCACCACATCACTCTCGTTTTATCTATTTTTCATTAACTCTATACTACTACTTCTGTTCTACACACTTGTGGCTGGACATAGCTGCAGTCGTAATCTATCAGACGCTACTACTACTTCCTCTCTTTGCCTCAGCTATGCTCCTAACCTAATTGACTTCTTTCCTTGTCTGTTATTTTTCACTGCACGACGCAGATGGGAAAGAAGAATGAATACAT